TAATTGGCGGTCCCCCATGCAATTACTGACCAGGCCTAACCCTACTTAGCTTCCCAGTTCAGACAGGATCTAATGCCTTTGGGGTATTACAGATAGGATAATGGAACATTGTGCTGACAAACTGCTATCTTCTTCTACCTTAAAGAAACAATAGGTCAAAGCGACTTGTGCTTCATGTGTGAACAAAAATGGACAAAACTACAAATAGAGAAAAGTACACAAGGAGGCAAGGCTGGTGTTTTCAGTGAGTCACATTCAAGCAAAATCTAATTAAATTCTAGAGTTTTATTTCAAGGTTTTATTGTTAAGTTTTTCTATTACATATAGGCATCACTTAAAAAAAATACTACAAATCTTGTTTGACATACAGCTCTAGCTCCAGAATTTGAAGATATTCAGCATTTCAAAATATACTTATATTGTTTACAGTCTGAGATACAGTTAAACTACCTGAGACTAAAGCACATTACATTAACTGGGACGAGACTAGGATGGAGGCCTAAATACTAAGGCACCAAATAGCATCTGAAGCTAAGCAGGGTCAGTCCTGGTCAGTATTTGGATGAGACGCTGCCAACAAACAGCAGAGGAAGGAACTGGCAAAACCACCACTAAGTATTTCTTGCCTAAGAAAACCTTATGCCCTGAAATTGTAGGGTCCACCCTCTGCCATGTCCACCTTACTCTTATTTTTAGTTAGACACACATTGGATTACGCTTAAAGACTTCTATTTAGTTCCAAAGAAAGAAGACTATTTTTCTATTTTCCAATAAAAGAGGTACAAGTAGTGATGCAGTCAGATATGCTGAGTACCTGTTTAATGCCACCACTGGTAAATAAGAGTAAGTAAAATACATGCTTTCACTATAAAATACGCACAGATAAACTAGGTAAATGTGCATTTATTGGTTAAGAGTTACAACAGACTGGGTTGCCAAGATAAATACTATATGCGTTTTTCCATGCCATTGATTTGCAGCTGTTCAATAGATCTCAGATCAATAGTAATAGTGCTTCCTGGTATGCTTCTTCCATGGTATAAGTCAGCACTTTTCTTATTCACATGAGAATCTTCTCTTCTTCCAAATGAGTCAATTCTCTGATTTGTCTTAATTCACTGTCTACTTGCTGTCTTGATCTTTTCTTGATTCTCCTCATTTTTTAAAAGGAGAAAAAAACTTTTTTGAAAACTTTTGTTCTTAGCTGGGTATATTCTACTTTATTTTCCACAATGTAATAGCACTACAAATGGCAGCCTCTTAACTGCTGCTGTGATCAAGAAGACCTACCATAGGGCAACTTGCCTGGGCTCCGCTCAAACTTAGACCCAGATCTGAGCATACTGAAGGTTTCAGTGATGGTGTGGGTTGACAGTTCTGCAATTTGAATGATAAAAAGGAGTCCAGGCTAGCTGGGTCATGAGATAATTCCCCCCCCCCCCATTACACACTGAAATGAAGAATTAAGACATTTGCTGTCCAAGCACTGGACTTTAAAATGGCTACTTACATTGAATAGGACTCAAGAAAAAGACCCGCAACATAATTCAAAGTTGTGAGATGCATTGTTTTATTTATTGTTGTGACATGTTTTGTACATAGTTGTTTAGTTATAATAATAATTAAGAAACACATTAAGATGTTTGCTGTCCAAACTTGATACTTATGGCAAAGAAGGTTCAGGGCTTCTGCCAGGTCAAAATGTACAATAGGCCCTTAGTATGCGCTGGTTTTTGGTTCCAGGACCTCCCATGGATACCAAAATCCATGGATGCTCAAGTCCCATTAAATACAATGGTATAATAAAATGGCATCCCTGATACAGAATGGAAGAAATCAAGGTTTGCTTTTTGGAATTTATATTTATTTTTGAATATTTCCAAGCCGTGGATGCTTGAATCCATGGTTAAAATATCCATGGATATGAATGGACAACTGTACTTAAAAACATTTGTGAAATCAAAAACCCAAACCAAGTATGGTTGTCACCCCACCAGAAACAAGACACCTGGAAGAATATATTTTCTTTTGCGAAAGAATATATTTTCTTTTTTCACGATCTGAGCCAGGCAGAAGAGAGAAAGCTCATGCTCATACAGCAGAGCATCTGTGCCATAGTGATTAGCATAATTTTAATCCACACTGGGAATATGATAGCCATAGCCAGTTTCTTAAAATCAAGAAGTCACAAGAGAACAAAAACTCAACAAAATGCATGACATTAGAACTGTGAGCTGTAAACTGCCTTTCCTTCTACCCACAACTTGTATAATAGCATTGTGTTTCAAGATTTAAACGTAAACCACTTTGACACTTCAGTCTTAGTTTAAAACAGCTTAGTGTAGTTAGTGTCAACTTATAAATTTATTGCATTCTTAAATAAATTGCCTTACCTGATCTGGTTTAAAATTTAAATCGGGCAGCATCCTGATATTATCAGAAGGATTTAGCCGCCAAATCCGCTGCCCAGATCCATCCTGGGTGCATCCCCACTCACAGGGGTACTCCAGCGGTCATTTTCTCAAGCCAGAAAACTCTTGACTTCGAAAAGAGCCGCACTGAGCTGCCCTTGGAGTGGGAATGGACCCAGGCAGCGGATTCGGCGGCTAAATCCTTTTGATAATATCAGGATGATGCCAGATTTAAGTTTTAAACCGGATCAGGTAAGGCAATTTATTTAAGAATGCGATAAGCTTCTCAGTTTAGTGTAAATCAGGCTATGTTCAAGGCAGAGGAAGTGGTTTAAAAAATGGTAAATCTTCTAGGAACTGATTCACTTGACAATAGTGAGCAGTCCATCAGTTCAGATGATTGCTTTCAGATAAGGGAAATTATTTTGTATAGAATATGGTTATCAACTCTTTTTCTGGCAGAGTACCTTTAACTAATGCCAGGCATGCAGGATTGTAGTATTTTAATCCTTTCCTAGTGTAGAATCAAAATAATGGGAAAAGCTATACAGTACTTGTATAGTTTGTACTTGCCAGTACAGGAATCCTGCCAAACTGTAATCCAAAATCTGTCAACAGTCTTAAGCTGAAACATACATATATACATGCAGTTGCATTTGTTTCTAAAGCAGGGATTGTTTTAAAAGGGGAATTTGAAAAACAATTTTTGAGATGCAAGCTTGATATTAAAAATAAATCAATGGATGTTCCTAATGAAGGCAATAAAATTTTTGCTTGAATCCAGGCCTTGTAACACTGGTGTCTCTATTTTTTTTCTCACATGTATGCTATCATCAAGCAAATATAGACAGTCCTTTTATCTCATCTCAGCATAACAAATATTTGTCTTATGGTATTTAATTAATTAAATGAAATTCTAAATCTTACCTCTCATAATATTACTGTTCAATGTAACAAATAGTACTTTTCAGTTCTTTGAAAGGCAGTACCTCCAGATTTGGTTCAAATTCAAATTATTCACTGGACCCTAGGTGTCATCTTCATTATTCTTTTTCCAGGAGAAATATAATTTCCATAGCATTTGTAGGCAAAATCAAAGCTTTTTATCCTGCAGGATTTCCATCACATTATTCTCGTCATAATTTGCACATTAACAGATGTGCTGTTCCCATTTTTCTTTCCAAACATTATAGCAGCTGTCACACATCTGTATTCCACAGCCTGATATGTCATTTAGAGGATAGGTAAATTAGCATACCATCTCAGAGGTTCTCCTGCATTAGCAGAGAAGACTGTTATCTCCTCTGTGGGCAGTTATGTTGCAAGGCTTCAGCTAAATAACCTGAGGAATTTGCAGCTGACCAGGAAATTGTTCAATTAGTGCCATGAGGGGGATCTTATTTACAATTGAGACTAATATTAATGCTCATCATTCCATATTTTAAATATCAAGAAGCCCAGTGCATAATCCAAAGAAGCTTCTGTCCTCATGCAATAAACACAATCAATTTGCTATAAATAAAATCTGTTTTCCCATGACAACACACTCTAGTAACATAAAAATCCATCCTGGTACCCTCAAGCACTCTGTGTTCCTAAGCCCACAGTGTTTCACACTTTTAATGGATATTTAACAATGTCATTAGCACTGTATTAGTAAAAGTTCATTTAATTTGCACTTACAGACACCACAGAATAGATAACTGTAGACAACCTTATCACAGAAGACATGTGACAAACTCATTTACAGCCATTTAACCATTCAAGGAAAATCATGTAAGCTTGTTCTTATCTAAATCTGATATAACATAGATGACCGCAGAGTGTGGATTGCAAATGGAGATCATCGTAGTCATTATTTGATATTTGGTACAAGAATGTAGGTAGGTGATAGGAGGAAGAATGAGGGATTGAAGAAAGATCTGAAGGACGAGGAAAGAAGTTGGAAGAATGGATTAGAAGATTGAATGGAGAAGGGTGAAAGAATAAAGAGAGCTAGCAGGGAAGAGAGTAGATAGGGATGGGAAAGGAAGGGAAAAAGATGTATAGAAAGACAAATACGTTTGTTGATTTTATAATTATGACGTATTTATACAATTAAGTTGTTTAAATATGTACATGATTATATATTTACACAAACAGAAGATATATGATCGACTTAACTATAAGAATGTAACAAATTCAAGAATGCAGCATCTGTGTAAGATAATTGTGTTTTAAAAATTTAACAATCATTTTTTTAAAAAAAATTAAAAATTGTGTAGCACTTTCTGTCCAGCCTAACTACTGAACCCCTAACCCCAGACGTAACACAGTGTGTTCTAAGGGCCCTTTCAGACATTATAGCATTTCAGCATAGAAAGGCATGTTTATGGCTTGCCCACAAGTCAGTTTTGTATGCTGTTATTTTTATACAAGTAGGCTTTTTCTTATTTCATTGTCTACCTTCAAATCATTTGTGACTTATGGTGACCCTAACACGAACCTATCATGGGGTTTTCTTGGCAAGTTTCTTCATAGGAGGTCTGCCACTGCCTTCCCCTGAAGCTGAGCGCATGTGACTTGCCCAAGGTCATCCAGTCAGTTTCATGGCCAAGCTGGGAATCAAACCCTGGTCTCCAGAGAGTCCTAGTCCAACAAATAAACCACTATGCCACACTGGCTCCCTCTTATTGCTAACATGTGTTATAAAAAGGTGTCAATAGATTTGTCAAGTACATTTCCAAATACATTTACATCAGTGGCATCACTAGAAGTGCAGTGACTGTGGCCCAAGCAGGTGACACCCCAGAAGAGGGGTGACACTGCAGGTGGCATGATGCTACTCTTGGCACCCACTCCTTCTTCACTGTTGTGGCTCTCTCCCTGAAGAGGAAGCCAAGGCAGCAGAAGAAGAGAAGAGGTGAATCCGGCCTTTGTGGCTTCGCCTTCGTGTGGCGTCCTCATTTCTTATATCTGCACAGCTTTTGCTCTTCAAGTAAAGAGAGGTGGCAGGTGCATTTGTAGGCACCTTTGCATCTATAATAGGGTTTTACATACCCCCCTTTGATTGATGTATTAAGTGTATTTAATATTTTTATTTACTCACTTTTGTAATATTTCATTTAATATTTTGCCATTGATTTCATAGAAGTCAAATTGTTAACTACTTCAGTTAGATGAGGATGAGGATGAGAATGATTTAATGCAATGTGCATTAAATTTAATGCAATGCCAGACAAATCTGATCTCTTTTTTTGATAAAATTACCAGTTTGGTAGATGAAGGGAATGCTGTGGATATAGTATATCTTGATTTCAGTAAGGCCTTTGACAAGGTTCCCCATGACATTCTTGCAAATAAGCTGGTAAAATGTGGGCTAGACAAAGTAACTGTTACATGGATTTGTAATTGGTTGACTGGCCGAACCCAAAGGGTGCTCAACAATGGCTCCTTTTCAACCTCTGTCCTGGGCCCAGTGCTATTCAATATCTTTATTGATAACTTGGATGACGGTATTGGGGGCATAGTTATCAAATTTGCAGACGATACCAAATTAGGAGGAGTAGCTAATACCCCAGAGGACAAGATTAAAATTGAAAATGACTTGAACAGACTAGAAAGCTGGGCCAAAGCTAAC